AAATTCCTTGACCGTCTGCTCGACGCTGTCATTCACGGCCTTTTCGTTTGCGACATCCATTTCGATTTCCTTGATTTGGATATTGGGGTAGGTCTTTTTAAGATGTTGGACGGTCTGAGTGACGGGATTGCGATCGAGGAGGGCGAAAGAGCGGACGCCTTGTCGGGCCATTGAGTAGGCGGCATACTGGCCAATGCCTATGATAGTCAGTCACTATCTGCTATGCGGAGTTCTTGACATGTCTCTGTTTACTCACCAGAACCAGCACCGGTGATGTACGCGACACCCTTCAGAGAGAATGCCATATTGCTCCAAAAACGAATCTACAGGAAGTGGCACGTTGACGAAGTGCAATATACCGAGGAGCAGGTTGGTGAACATGAAGCTCGAGCTCTCCGTAGCTCTCTCCGTAGCTCTCCCCGCTAGCTCCATTGCTAGCCCACCGCTCTACACGGAAGCTACAGTTCCAGATTCGGGCTGCATTATGCGGAATCTGGAGTCTCCACATGGGTGTGCGCCTCGCGAAGAACTAGATGCAGGTAGTGGCGAGGGGTTTGTGGGGATGTAACGCGGCTGATGTGGTTCGCGTGTGGCTGGATGAACTTTGCCGCGGGTAGTCGGGAGCGCGGAGATGCTTGGGGTTGCTTCGCGAGTCACGATGGGAAAGTCAGGATGAGGTGCGAGTCAGCCCCATAGAAAAAATGTTTTGATTAGAAAGCAACCAAAGTATCGATGGTATGATGGACAGCGGTATGAGTGGAGTTGTGCTTAACATTCAAAGGGGAAAACAGTCTTGCGTCATTCAAACCTATATTGCGGATGCGTAGATGAATCCGAATAGTCCCAAGTTGATTTGTTGCAGTTCTACATGCCTATAGAATACAGCATAGCGTGAAGCCATTTACTCCCTATGAAATTGCATGTATTTTGAGTGATAAAAAGACCGAGTCCAAGGTGAGGGTAGGTTTATGATGCATCACGTGAATTCGTGTAACTTAATCAGCGCGAGGACTAGCGCGCCGCGATCCTGTTGTGCGGCGCGCCAGCCTGTAGGTTATGTACCCCGCCTTCACATGCGCCGACGATGACAACGCGTCCGACACGCATCGCACAAACCTCGACCGAGGCGAAGAAAGCTCATAAACGAAACGGGCCACTACTCCCCGAACGACAGCAGCGACAGCTCGAGCGCGCCGCCGAGCTAGACAAGCGCGCCAGGGAGATACGCGAGCGAGAAGAACGCAGCAAGGCAGCAAAGAAGAAGCGCGAAGAGAGGGAAAGGAAGGAGATTGCGCTCAGGAAGCAGAACGGCATTGGTTTGGCGACTCAGTTAATAGGTTATAGCCACACCCAGGCGCAGTTAAAAAATGGCATGGAGGCATTCTTGGGCTTGAAGAAGAAGCGTGAAGAGGATAAGAAGAAGGAATTGGAAGTTGCAAAGCAGTTAGAAGCAGTTGTCGAAGACGAAGCCGCCAAGGAGCCGTGGGATGATGATGATGACGACGCCGCAGATGCGTTCGATCTACCGTTACTAAGCACAAGAGCTGGAGATCAATGGATAGACGATGACCTAGACGACGATACTTTCCTCGAGGTGCATGACCATGTTATGTCAGATCCTATAGACGAGATGCTCGAAGCACCGAAACCACGCAAAACACCTAAACCCGCTTCCTCGGCGCCCGTCGCAAATTCACCAAACATGAAAGCTTCGACGGATGACCTCAACTTCGTTCGACTTCACGGCCCGATCAACAAAGCAATCGAAGCTATATTGGAAAAGCTTCCAGATACTTTGATTGAGCTCCTATCGCAAGACCGCCCAGTCGATCCAACATTATGGGATCCGCCCCCAGCTTTACTACACAAACTACAACCTCCTGGGTTGCCACCGCATCGGCTACGTATCAAAGTAGGATGCGTCGTGGCGCTTCTTCGAGATCTCAATACAAGTAGTCAGCTTTCTAAAAGCCAGCATCTGCAAATACTTCGAATAGAGCAGGAAAGAATAGAGTGCATGGTCTTAGACGGCCAATTAGAAGGGACAAAGGCCTTTCTTACCAAAGTTCCATTCCCAGCTAAGCATCGAAACGAAAATCAATATTCGTTTCGACGCACTCAGTTCCCCATACAAGTCTCAAAAGATTTCGTTGCCCCAGTCAAGGTTCGAGGACCGCTTCAATCTAATTTCCGGAGGCCGACTTTATCCGGACGAGGATCGCAGCTGTCAAAACCTTCTCTTAAAAAGGCATCAGCGCCGAAAAACACATCGCAAATGAAACAAAATCCCAGCTTTAAAGTTCCAGGCTTACCAGCCTCCAGATCGAACGCTCCAGCTTTCAAAAAATCTACAATGCCTCTACCCATTTCACTGCTCGATGGCTGGGACGATTTCCTCGACACTTCGACACAGATTGCCCGTGATCTATCGTCTGAACCATCACCACCCTGCAAGCCATTACCTCAAGATTCACTACAATCAGAAACATATAGGGTTCCTTCAGGTACAATCTCTAATGATTTGCCTCCACTCTCGACACAAGATCTTGATTTTTCCTTAGAAGATCTGGATGACTCCCCTGCAGTGTCGTCCAGCAAAACGCTAGCATCAGGCCTATTGCCAATGCCACCCGAGACCGAAGCACCACGGCATCCCTCAAACGACCGTACAGAGACACGACCGGAGAATCAGAAGTCTGTCAAATTAGTACCACCGATTCCGCCAACCAGGCCGAGCCCACTTAAAACAACGCTCAAGCGCAAATTCTCCGAGCCTTTACGAAGACCGACTAACGCTGTGTCAGCTAAGCCTAGCACTGGTCCCGCTCCTAAGAGGGTGAGTATCGGACCCGCTAAGTCAACGGGAACAAAGACTATGAGCACGACGATGTCGATGAACACTACGAAGAAGGCAGCTACAACGAGAACTGCAAGCATTATGGTCGTGAAACAGATTAGTCAAAAGCCCCAAGTGAAGTCACTTCCTTCTTTTAGTGAATTTGGGTTGTCGACGCAAGAGGCTGTTTCTTTCTTTGATGACGATGATTAAGATGCGTTGAGGACTACGCCTAGTGGATTACGAGTAGGCCTGAATTACGAACTTGGTTACCCCAAACTTATCATTAGCACTTTGTATATGGGCGGAGGATTGGATATTTTCTATTTTTATTGTGATAATCACAAATCATATTATCATGTCACCGTCCGCATCCGCGGCAGTCACTATGTGTTCTTCCTCATCCTCATCGAGCTCCTCTAATGGATATGTAAGAATAGCAGCGATATTCCCCAGCCCCTCTAGCCTCTTCCCGCTCTCATGCAAGCTACTTAATACCCGCACTTCGCCACCTTCCACGTCCCTAACCCGGTCTACAAGCGCAACCCATCGTTTCCTCTCTACGAGGTTATGTGACCGAAACAGTGAATTTGAAATCAGTAGCACACCTCCACCTCTACCGAGCGCTCCGCTCTCTACTGCTCTTTCTATTTCCCGCGGCCCGTATGCTGCGCGTCCATCGTCTAATCGCATGTGCTTCTCAAACGAATCCATGAGCCCTGTCTCTCGAGCGAATTTCGAGTCGGAGACCTTCGCTGTGACGGCCGGCGAAGCAAGTACTTCGGATAAATTATGCACATGTTCGCCAGCGGAGTGCGCAACAACAATGCTAGGGACCAGCCCTTGAAGAAACTTATTACCCGTCCGCACCGCATGCTCCTTGATAAACTGCAGGAACGCCTGCGCATAGAACCCCGAGCTAGCCAGCAGCAGCGGGACCGTTTTCTCCGTTTGCGCTTCTCTTTTCGCCGACTCCATGTGTTGCAAAAGCGAGGTCAGCACTGTGTTGTGGAACTTCTCTAAGCCCTTGACATGCTGGTCCATATGACCTTTTCCCTTCCGCGGTATCGAGACGTCGATTCGGTTTCGTAGGATAGTTTGGTGCTCGGTTATGAGGCAGATATTCGCTATACCCTCGCCCATGACTACGGCCCAAAGCTCCGCCCGACGCGCGGTATCGCACGCTTCGCGTAGCATGTCCACAGCTACGCTGTCCCAGCCGTCTGCCTTCTCCAATGTGAACTTGCGATTCAGCTCGAGGTCGAGCGTGTGATGCGAGCCCATCTTGACATGTTCGTTTTCCGAAACGACGCGCCCAGCGACGTGCAGCTCGTTGCTCGCGAGGTCGAAATCGGTTTTGGTGACGGCAATGGTGAGGTCGATGGTTATGCGTTGCGAGGCGACAGAGCCCGAGGCGGATTCTTTTTGTATGCGGCGCAGGGCACGGGCTTTTATGAGGTCGGTGGGTTGGATCAGGTTGTAGGCGTGCCACATGTCTTCTGGTTCTTCGGGAAGGAGGACTGCGATGCCAGTGCCGGTTTTGGCGTCGATTTCTTGTTTAAGAAGTCTCATTTTGGGTGTTTGTGCGTGACGGCGCTATCGGCGCTATGGGGAGTTCGGGTTGTATGAGTGTGTTGTTGCATGAGCGACGCACTCAGAATCTTGTGCTGTGTTTAGAGTGATGATTTAGGTGTGCTGTGGTTGGATCGCGGCGCGTTGAGGGGCACTCTGGAGTGACGTGGAGAGGGGCATACGCTAATGTTAAGGTTATCGATAAGAGCGGCCAAAGAATTTCCTCCGAGCACAGTGCAGATGAAAACTTGAACACTGTTCAAGCGCATTGATAAACTGTGAAAAGGGACATCAATGATCCGCATGTTACATACTTGCATACTTTAGTAAATTATCGAGTCTGCGCTACGCACCTGTCGTCCCCAGTCTATGCATCATTTGACTTGGGCTTGCAATTATAGGTGGGCCAAACCCCGCTCTACTATGTGACTCAGGGTTACACTCTGCTGTACGTGTCCTCAAACCCCACACGCATCTTACTAAAAAAAATGTTCCTCAATGCTCCTCTCAATTTGTCAATTCCATCATTTTTCCACATATATGTACTCGTCAATCTTAGACTACGCCACAATCCCTTTCCAGAGAGTTAAATGCCCGCGTGGCTTAGTGGTAGAGCGTATCACTCGTACCCCTTGCGATATGATAAGGTCATCAGTTCGATTCTGATCGTGGGCAATTCTTTTTGGCGGGTTCGGTAACCTCAAGACTGATTCATGTAGAAGAAAGGGTTTATTCGGGTGGGGTGATCAAACCTTTTGTATCCAACCACAAGAACATCGCAAACTTACGGCTAAGTAACACGTGACGCAAGTCACCAACTTTTGTGGATTGTATGATAGAAGGCCTTTGGTTTTGAGCTCGGGAAATGGCTATTGAGGACCTAACCTGATTTGTTCAAGGAGACTGAAATCTTTTCGTAGTAGCCAAATGATGAAATTCCAGTCCTTCCCAAAGTACACGCAAGAAGACTAACAATTAGAGATAAATGAAGACACCATGAAAAATGTCAGGCACATGCCAATTTCTTCAAGGGGTAGGGGTTGGATTCCAAAATCATGATACAGCGAATCCCATGCTCCTCCTAGCAACATCCATCATCCCAAAGAAAAGGCCAATCAAGACTTACAGTCTTGCCCTCACGGGGCTTTGTCTTCTGTGATCGTGATTCAATCCTGGACTCAGTATTTCAGTGTGACCTTTACCCTGAGCTTCTATCTTTCTCTTCGATTGAACCTCTGGCTGCAAGTGCAAGCAGTTTTCTCTAAAGGATTGAAGACCTGAAGGGTTGTAAAATAAAGACATTCCGCTAGCTGGCTAGTATAGTGATCTTCAACCTCCAATTCCGATGATATCGACGTTGTAAGTGACGTAGTAAAGATTAGTGTCGCATAGCATGAACAAAAGTGATAGCTATACCTTTCCTCTCCTCTGCCTCTTCACTGACTCTGACTCGTGGCCCCCTCTTTCATTGCGTATTTTCCTCTCGCTTTCGAGTGTACGCAAATGATCTAGTCAATCGATGTTTAGTCTCGAGCATTAGTCCACAGATTGATCGAATCAACCTAGTTGAACTTGGATAGCCATGACTAACTAAAACATTGGCGTCAATTCACCGCCTTGGAAGCGGGGGTTTGCAGGCACAAACGTTCCTCAGTGCAGACGTGCTCACGGCATCTATAAATATTGGGAGCTGTAGTATCTCGTCAAACCAAGCTATCAATAACACCCTCGAAAATGTATTAGAGCTCTCGTTCGCATCTAAGAACGCTTGTATACGCTAAATCAAACTTTGCTCTGACAATATCTCTAGGATCTACTCGTCTATCTATCGCTATAGCTACATCACGATTATCATAATCAATTCAGCAGGAGTTCCTTCATCTCAGTCAAAATATAAGGAAATTACAAAGGAATACTCGTGGTCTCTCTATCACCTTTGGGCTCACTTTTCTCGGCGGGCTTTCAACACAACCTAATACAATTAGAGAATTCAAGAGACAGTCTTTTCGGTTGATTTCCAGATACAGAGAGTAGGAATCTTGAAGAACCAATTCATTCAAACACCTATGGTTTTACGTTTTGGAATTATTTCCCTTAGTCACTGCAATTGTACTCGTGATCACGATACTACTGAACATGGCCATCCCACTTAATGTCCATGGCCGATAACGATGATAATGATGGAATGATTGTGGTTTCACCATATCTACGGCCGTACACCATATGAGATTCCAGTATCCCACAGCGCGGGTAGTATTTGTTCCTAACCATATGCAGTAAATATGTCGATCACTACTCGGTGCTCGTAGACTATTACCAACATCACACAAACATTACCTACCCTAAGCGGCTATCGATGGTCCGGAGTATATAACAAACCTATTACGAGGCGCAGCTAAGTACGCGTTCACGCATTTCCCAATCCTACGACGCGTAGAACGTGCATTGCTGAGGAACTAATGGCACCGATAGACGAGAATTTTGATTGAAAATCTGCCTTGGGCTACAATACTGGGTCATCTATTGGCCTGTATGCAAATTTTATGGAGGAGATTGGTTACTAGAGTCTGAATTGTGGGGTTTGAATGGCCGAGATGGGGAGGAGGTAGGGTGATGTAAGCGTATTTATCCTCAGGATTAATCCGGTACACAGCCACGCGAGCGTACGAATAGTCTATGCACGTTGTAGGCCCTGTCTTCTCTAGCGGAAATCTGAATGTAGCCATGTAAGGCTTTCTAATTAGGAATGTATCTGATGGGAGTTATAAATTGAAGGCTCGAAGTCGTGGAAGTGTCCATCTAGCAAGCAACTCAAATTCGATCCATCATGGCGAAGGGTTCAATAGCAACCGTTGCGCTCTTTGCGCTCTTGCAAAGCGCTGCAGCTCACTGTGAGTAGCTTCCAAATCAGTACAGATACTCTGACCAACACCACTACCAGATTATTTTCCTCACCTCGTTATAAACGGAGAAAAGACCCCCGAATTCAAATATGTTAGAGACGTGGCGCCTAACCCTGACGGCACGTATGATGATCCAGACGGCTATAACGGCAAAGAAGCCCCTGTCTACGGCGACTTCGAGAACACCTACATGACCGACGTTCGCTGTGGCCGTGACGGCGCCAAATCAGCGTCCACCACAGAAACTGCCGATATCGAAGCCGGAAGCGATCTTGCATTCCACATCAAAGAGTTCAACGATCCCCAATACAACAATGGAATCTTTCATCCCGGCCCCGCACAAGTCTACATGAGCAAATCCGATGATCTGTCCACCGATGCCGGGGATGGAGATTGGTTTAAAATTTATTACCTAGGGCCGAGTAGTGATACGACGTGGGCGACGGATAGGCAAGTCCAAATCAACTTCACCATCCCGGAAACCACGCCACCGGGAACGTGTGAGTCTTCCACCGGATACATTATGAACGTTTGATGATGGCTAACACCGCACGAAGACCTGCTTCGCCTAGAATTAGTATTCCCCATCAAGGACTGGCCGGGACACAGCCAGTGGTACACCAATTGCGCTCACGTGAACATTTCAGGATCGGGCGGGGGTAAGTAACACCTCACACCTCCGAGCACAGTCACTCACAATTGCAGGCACTCCCGGTCCCACTATTAAGATCCCAGATGACTATTCTGTCAACGATCCTGGCATTGGCCTAACCACAGAGGGAGTTGAGTTCAATTCAGGCCTCGACAAGTATCAACCTCCAGGCCCGGCGGTCTGGACCGGGTAAAAGATATTGCCTACAATGTCAAGTCTGATTGAGGAAAAGTTTCTTGAAGAGGGCGGTTTCATATGAAAATTCCAGGTGGCGATACGATCATTCCTTTAACATTAGAGCACTACAGTCTTTATGAACTATTTATAAGCATTGAAAACATTACTCTTGCTGTCAGTCTTTTCCGACGTTGAACCTCATCATTCGAATTCTTGTTTTACATTAATGATAACCACTAACAGAAGCCAATCCGCAAGGTATAACAGTTAGGGTATTCAAAGTAGACAGCAAGTCTTTGAAAAAAAACGAGCCCAAATAAACACATTATAACGTATTTCATATTGCATGATAGATACTCATTTCATACTCGTCTAATAACATCATGATCGCATCCGCATCTAGACTTAGGCTGAGTCATAGACTCCTCACATAGGTTCTTACAGCTCCAGGTAGAATGACGGCATGCCTTACCGTCACAATAGCCCCGCTGCTTGGAGTGAGCTTTATGAAGTTTTGATGATAAAATTCTTTGATAGAGCGAATGCGTGGCCAAAATGTTACACCTCTCGATACATAGCAATTGTTGCATTTTTCTATAATGGCGACGCTTCTGTGTGTTTCCGTGTACGCGAGGCTCGCGAGGAGAAAGGCTTTAACGATACCCAAGAGGGCGAAGATGGCTATTTCGGCAGCCACCCAAGTGCTAAAGGCAATGACGAGATCGATAGTATCTAGTTTCGAAGTTTTTTTTTTTATATAATACAGTGGATTGAGGCAACGGAGGTATCTTCGGGGAACTCCCAGCATCGCATACAAGGCGATTGGATCAGCATACATGACTTGGCGTATGCAAAGCGTCATCGGTCCCGTATCAGCTGCATCTGATTTTCAGCGAAAAGACTCTAAGAAGGCAATGGTTGAGCTGAGAAGACAGCAGACAACACTTTCTGGCTCCAGGTTATCTTGGTGATGTATACGATAGTATGTATTGGTGGCATTCGGAACCAATTGCAACTTATCACTGCCCCTTTGAACAGAAGCAGTGATTTGACCCCGACGGTATTAGTTTAATAATCTCGGAACTTCATCGCTAATGTCAATCTAGAATCAATCCAACATTCGGAGTATTCTGAATAGAATTCTGTGTATCAAAAGTGGTACTTTATAACCAGCGCTCCCAAGTCACTTGTATTAGCATTATTGACAGACTACCCTACTTTCGTTCGCTCGGCAGTTCTCGTACTGGTTGCTCGGTGCTCATCTCTTGTGGCTCGTGAGCGGTCATCTGGTATTTGGCTGCCTCGTGGCCTGCGGGCACTCCATACCCTTCGTGGTATTGATAATTCGCATGAGGCTGTCCGGAGTGCATCTCAGATACATCTCCGTACGGATGAGAAGCTTTCTGCTTCCGCCATCGTGCAAGGAGATAGCCAGCACCGAATATTGCTACGACGCCTGCGATTGCTCCTATCGCTATACCGGCTTTTGCACCCCCAGATAGTCCGGAGGATGGTGTCGCTGTAGAAGACGCGGACGGTGACCCGGTGGATGATCCGCTTGTGGGTGTAGATGTCGAAGATTGAGTTGTAGAGCTAGCAGTCGACGACGTTGCGTCGGCACCCAGCGTGGCAAATATTTTGATTGCTCCTGGAGTGTCGCAGCAGCTGTTGTCGTTACCGCAACACCACTTTTCGGATTTAGATGTGCCATCACAGGGCGTCATTTGTGCGTTCCCGTTACCATTACTCTAATCTCATGTCAGCCATTTCCCATAGCCACGATTGTAAGAACCACTGAACATACCCCTTGGACGCAGAAGTTCGGACAGTTACCCTTACTCCAATCTGACTCTGTGCATTCTTCTCTGAACCAAGTAGTTCCTTTCCCCTCTTCATTCACGAAATTGTTCTGACATATTCCATTCGGTAGGCAGATATCGGCG